AGCGGCCCGCGAAAGAGAGGTGTCGCGCTTGCAAGCTCGATCGCATCCTCGACGTTCGCTATTCGAGAATGATTCGAACGAAGACCCTGCGAGAGAGAGAGAGAGAAAGAGAGAAGAATTGACGAATATCCCGCGCGATACTTCGCGACTGCTCGTTGCCAGGTGGTGGTTGTGTTGTCGTATGCACCGACTCTAGTCTGAATTGTGCGCAGGAAAGAAACGACGACCGCAAGCTCGCGGGGCTCGGTGAAAGTATCGATCGAGACAGCCTCGGTCGCGAGTTAGGGACCGTCCGGGGTCGTGCATTAATCTGTGAGGGAGCGTTTTTCAGTTCGACACACCGCGCGATGGCCTTCACTCGCGCATCGGCGACACGCATGTGGCGAAAACAATTCCGTTGGTGCAACTGAATTTTCCGTTGCATGACCACACGAAAATTCGGTTTGTAGTAATGGAAAGATTCGACGTAGTAGGTTCCTGTCCAGTCAATTGTTCTCAGTTATCTCAACCGAATTTTAATACAACTGAACTTGCCAGGCAGCGAGATGACGTCTAAAGACGTCTTACTGACGTATTATTGTCGCCGGATACGTCATTCAAACGTTATTAATACGTCATTTGACGTTACTTTGCTATCTGGGAACGTACAGACGAGTGTTATCATAACAGTTATGATAACAGAAATATCATTTCTTGTCGTTGAATTTTAATTTTTTGTCCCCGGGTTCTCTGGTTCCTGTTCAGCTGCAGAAACTGAGTTTCTTTTCCGTACACGTATCGGCTTCTCATACGAGAAAGGATACCTTTGTGATTCCAAAGAATACGGATGCTCGTCGCAGGCCTCGGTCTTAAAATCCGCGAGCGATTCGAGACACTACAATGTCGCATTAACTACATTGATCTACAAATTACTTTTGCCAATTGAAGGACGAAATTTACTGTGCGAAATTCTGACATGTGTGTCTACGGATTTTCAGGGACTTATGTGTAAAGTCTTAAAACCGAGAAGGCGAATCGGTCTTCTTTCAAGCCACAGATATTATAATACATATTTCGGAAGTCGATAACGATAGATTATTTTCTCGGTTCTCGATTGAACAGGTTAGCGAAATTTAAGTGCCGTCTTTGAAGTCGCGCCTCCTCATTTCTGCGCGAGATGCGCGGCTGCTCTCGCCAGGGGCCTAACAACTCGGTAAAGTCGTTAACGCGACGGCGCGCGTCATTCTTAATTACTTAATGCGATTTCCCGTTAATTACCACGGTCTTTGTCGCGCGATTCTTCGACCACTCGCGAGTAATCTGAAGGGGAGTCGCTGCAGTTTCGTTAATGAATCATCCATTTCCGCCTAATTCGATCGGCTTTTCACTCGCGCTCTGTGCAACATAATGCAACGAAACTTCGACGCACTTGTCATGAACGAAAGGGCTTCCTACGGTAAACGTATCGTACCTTAGAAATCACGTTTCACTCTCAAATTTTTCTACGTTCCATCTCCCATCTCAGCTTATGAGCTTGTCGCGCTAATATTCCTGACTTTGAATCACGGATTCAGAACCGAAAAGTAAATTAAATTCACTTTTTTTTTTCTTTAACTATGAAAGAAACTGAAACTGAGATCACCTCGGAAAAGATCGATAGTAATCACTATTACCGAGGTAGGATAGATTTTAATTTTTCGAACGTTAAATTATTTCTTAAACGGTTCTCGGACGAATTTCGAGTAAAAACTCAATTAATTTCTATCACATAGACGAGTCTCCCGTATTTTAATCGCTCGCAGCCGTTTGTTGTTTAATTACGTGCGACGAAGATTCTGAAGGTCGCTGGCGTCGGATTCTCACGAACGGTGCGCTGATCTCGCGTAGGAGAGTCTTCGTCACACGATTCGCTTCCGGATAGGAGAGAGGTTTTAAATACATTTTGGCTCAGGGATAGGAAGTGTGTCATATTCAAAAGTATTACTTGCGATCGAACAGTCGAATGAATATCGTTACTGGCACTCACCCCTCGTCGACGATTCGCGTCGGTGTCGCGCGCGATGCGCTGCGAGTCATAGGGCACATAGGGTAATCCATGCAATGTCGAGGTTCCTTGTTAGCGCGCTTTGGAGATCCGGAAAACTCCGTCGTTTGAGATCCTCGGGCTTCTTTCTCGCTCGACTCGTCACTCGGATGTGCTCTTGACTTCTGTACGGAGAAAGCGACGGAGGATAAGTCGAGGAGAGTTGCGCGATATGGAGCCTCTATTGATCTCGCGTTAAACAGATTTCTACCGAGTTTTTACCCAAGTTTGTACGAAACGAGACATCGCGTGTGTGTGTGTGTGTGTGTGTGTATATATATTTTGAAGGTCGTTCTTCGGTTAGCGGTACCCAAGGCTGCGATATCGCGCCTTGCAGGAAAGGACGCCGGTGTCCATTTTGCTTGGTTCGCAGTTGCGGAAGTTGTAGAAAACATGGCGAGCATTCAGCACATATGCACTATGTCAGTCGTTCCGAACAATTCATGTTTTACTTTAACGAAGATCGAAATTTACGGGTTGTTTCGGAACATCTGTCAAATCCTACAGCTTCCGCAGCTGCGGAATCGAACAAACGGACATCAGGTGCTTGCTCTTTTGAAGCGGGGGACCTATAACCCTCTTTAACTTCATTACCACGTCGTGGTTTCGACGCGCAGGTTTTCCAAATCTCCTCCCTATACGAATAAAATTGCATATCACCGACCGAATCTCAGGAGAAGCGAATTAGTATTAAACGAAACGACGCGCGAAGGTCGGAAATTACGTAGCCGCGAGCCTAGACCGATTTGTGTCCCCCACCCTGTTGTCGATCGTCGACGTCGTCTTACCTGAAGGAGAACGCTATTCTGAATAATTGTTGATAAATGGTCGAGTCTCGTGTACAATGATAGAGAGGAGAGAGAGAGAGAGAGAGAGAGAGAAAGGAAAACAATAGAAGAACGGAAACGTGCCATTTGTCGCTGCACGAACATATGTAAAGGCAATCCATCGTCGTTCCAAGTTCAGAGGACCTCTTCTTTCGTCCGCGTCGTGAATTTCGGCGATTCTCGTTGCTTCTTCGCCGTGTTCTCGCGTATCCGCGTGTACTATACGTTCCGCAACCGACCAACCGATCAACCATAACCGCAATATGTCCGAACAAAATTTGAAATCATGCGCGCGACTGCGACGCGATCTTACGTCGAAAAATAGTTCAATAAATACGACTGACGCCACAGTGGGGTAGATTCACTAGACGCTTTGAAATGTCTAGTGACATTGTTGCACGGAAAAGAGGAATAATTATCCATACGATATGACTGAGATTTAATTACCAGACCTAGTTTTTAGCTCGGGAGCTAAGAATTAGGCACAGGAACAAAATAATTAGCTAAATTAATTAAATTTCAATTGTATCATATGGACAGTTAATTTTTACCTGTGGGAGCCAGTTCTTAGCTGTGGGAGCTATTTCTTTTTTCCATGTAGATGTTAATTCCGTGTGTAAAAAAAGAAACGCTTCGATATTGATTTATAAAGCGTCAAATGGATTGCACCTTGAATGAGAGAGAGAGAGAGAGAGAGAGAGAGAGTGAGAGAGAGATAACACCTTCGTTAATATATATTTCCATGGAATAATGATTACGATTCATTTTCTATGATCTGTAACTGTATTTCTAGTCTAGGACTGTTGCTGTAACCGGGATCCGAGAAGGATATTATTAGCGGAGTCGCTCGATCGAGAATGACGGTACAATCGTGACTCTAACTTTCGTTAGGATTAATTAAAACTCTAGTTAGACCGATTGAAATTTCTTTGTGTACCTTCGTTAGCCGTAGCTACGCTCCGAGATTGACGTTCGAGCACAAGTCAGAGCTAATTAAGTATTTAAGACGTTACCGAGATAAAACTTCTCGAGCTTCGCGGAATGTCGTTCGCAAAGATGTCCAAGAGATGTTCCAATTTTTTCGGACGTCCATCAAACTCGAGTTATTTGGGTTTTCTGACGTTTATATATATATATATATATATATATATATGGGCAAAAAGTTTGTATGAGACACGTGCATTCGTACCTCCGTAAATACCGTCCTCTGAATTTGGCACTAAATTCGTGCCTCTGTGATCGGTGTGAGGAACACAATCCTAAGATCGGCGGGACGATCAAATCGCTAATACCGGACCAGTCTTGAGCGACGATTGCGCACACCGAGATAGTGTATAAAAGAGAGAAAAAGAAAAAGAAGGAGTCTTAGCGAATTAGGGACGAATTAATTGCGCGATCGCAAGGGTACTACATACTTTACCCACTTAGAGTGGACATGGGCCAATATCTCGGTATATTATATTAATATACGCACACAAAAGGGGAGGAAGAGAGAAAAAGAGTTTTGACCCATCGCCATGACCAATGAAGTAATGAGGAAAGGAGAGAGTGAACAAAAAATACAAAAAAGAAAAACGAACAAAAACGAGAAAGAATTGTCATCTATAATTACATTTTTACGCACTCCAAATTTTTATCCTCGTCATTTGTATCATAGCAACCATGTGTTTAAAGAAGGATCCGCATTATATGTATGTATAATCAAAATTGTAACAGATAAAACGTTAATAAAAAAACGATACCCAAAATCTCATACCCTGTACCGTGTCCGAATGCGCCGACCTTTGCCGTCGCTTTACTATGCAAAAGGTGCATTGAAGAGCTCGAGTGTAGGTGGGTGTAAATGGGTGTATCACTAAGCTCCCGGTGCATATATTCCTGCAAGGCCAGCAGATTCAGCTGGTTTTTGCTCGCTACGATCGCTGCAACGTGATAATCTGACTTCTACGTCGGATACTGAAGGATCCAAGTTTCTCGGTGGAAGACGTCATTTCATAGCGCTTAGACCCGTTACGACTGTCAGACTCGTTATTTTCATTAGTTTCAAAGTCCCCGCTACGAGCCGCCACTGTCTTTAACGTGTAGCAGATTATTTACAGAGAGCACGCGACATATTCCAAACTAAATTAGCAACCAATAAGAAGCTGTACTTCATCCTGGTATGTACGACTAAATGGCAACTTGGATCTATCTTTATTATCGTTGACTTTTATTTTAAAATTTTACAATGTAACATTAACTCGTCTCTTGTCCACAGTTTTGCTTTAAGACATAAGTAGTAAGCAAATTAACCAACCACGATCGATTATTTTTCTAATAAACGATTGTAAACAAAAGGTTAAAAGACTCTTTTATTTACAAACAGTATGACTCAGCGTGGGGTTAGCGTTTTTTATTTTTTAATTTTTCGCCTCTATATAGCAGATATGAAGGTCCTAGATTTTAAATTAAAATTTTAAATAACACGACCCAATGACAAGTCTTCGTATATAAAGGTATTAAAAAAAGTGAATAATATGCAATATACAGTGCGATTAGCAAATGATAATGTAAATTTCAGTTATCACCGACCGACGATAAAAATGGTCTTATCAGCGCCCATGTCAGTCACTCATCGAGTTGGGCAGAAGTGTTACAGCTGCGTAACCTGTACATCGTGAGGAAGTGTCAATTTTTTGTCGAACATCGATGTTTAGCAGGTAATTACTTTTGCTTTGCATAATTCTCGTAAACAAATATTGTTACAACGATACGTTTAGGCATAAAGTTATCGGCAATACCTGCAACAAGGAAACGGCTTTCTGACAATTGCGTATTCGTATAGGTTACGTTTCGCAGTTTCACTAAAGCAAGATATCACAGAAGTCCCTTTATACTTTTCGACTTTGCTCATACACATACGAATTTGTTAATTACATGTCATTTATATAACTCCTTTAAGATTTATGTCAACTTTTATTCGCTGCTTCAATACACACTTTAATGTCGTTCTCCTCCTTCTCCTTGCGTCCTATGTTTATACCGCAAATCTATCAGCATTAACAATAGCATGCAGTAACATTATACATAATAAATATCTTGAATTTAATTATTTTATTAATCTTGAGTAAGTCACATGAGTATGAGTTACGTGCTTAGATCGTCCTAAGTTTCGTATTTGCTCCATGATATTGAGCCATTCGTAGGCGGAATCGCGCGTTTGTTAGTTTTACTATCGCACAATCACTTCCTTTTCACACGTTAAGTGAATCCGTCTTAATCACTTAAGTCATTGTAAACTCCCTTTTAACGATAAAAGTATCTTAAATGTGGCCTCAACCAATTGGGTGCTTTCTAAATTATTTTTAGAAGCCCTCTAATCAGTAAAAAAGATATTCAGAATATGAGGCTAAGTAATTCACATGATTTTCTTGTTGTTTGCTCGAATGAGAAACGCCGCCTTAAACGGAACGATAATACATAGGATCGTTGTGTTTGAAGTCGCATTAATTTCATTATAACTAAAGCGAATAGCAATTGATATGTTCGAAAATGAATTGGAGCATTAATCAGTATTCGACGAAAATGATAAAAAATTTCAAAGTGACATCTCTAGTTCTCAGATAGCATAAATATTTACCTGGTACAGAAATCCTACAGCGTATACGTATCGAGTGTATCAATGCTTCAACCAGGAAAATATTTAAATAACATAAATAACATTAAAATTTTTTTTCGATGAAATTATGCATCAGTTGATCTGATGGAGATGCACATATAATAAAAAGAGTACATAAGTGTTTAAATGTGTGCATGTGTTGTGTATTTCGAGTATTACTATAAACTATGAACTTTATACCGTTGTAGTTTCAAAACAAAATAATCCATAATTCTGAAATTTATGTATAATACCTGGATATTAGTCTTTAATATCATAGTCTTTCATCAATATCTTATTTTGATTTTAGTAGATATTATAAATAGAAATTAAAAATAACACGTTAATCTCTCAAAGAACACGTAGAAAAAATGTTAAGCAGTTCGTTCTAAATATCTCAGCTTACGAATGATCAATATCTTTCTAATTGCAGGAGCAATTAGATAATATTTCAGTGCATACGCAGTGCAAGTTTCAACGAATTCTTCTATCAAACCTACTTAGCCTTATAACTTCCTTAAGAGAAGCTGTACAGACAAAATAATAGAATAAAATAAGCAACATAAAACCTTGGAATATCCAGAATTAGCAGTTCACATTACGTGAATTCATTAGAAGCTAAAACCCAACACCTTTTCATTGAGGCTGGCATCAAATTCAAACCACGTGACCACGTTCAAAGCTGCAATCAGGGTCTCATGAATTGAGTAGCACCTTAACGCGTCTCATTTTGGAGACCTCGCGCAGTGTCCGTAATCAAAATCCGCTCGAACGCGCGATTCCAAATATCGCTGCGACTGTCCGTTATTCTAAAAGTTACCCGGCTTCAGCCTTTTGCCTCTGTTTATCACGAACGGATCGTACTTTCTCATCAAAAGCTTATCGAGCGCCGGGTCGCGCCGATCCCTCAACACCGGTGTGCTCTTCAGCCACTGGTTCGGGTCGCAGTAATCATCGTTGCACTTGGCCCTCTCCATCAACAACTCCAAGAGGTCCTCGTTTATCGAATAATGTGTTGCTCGATCGAAGTCGTCCTGGTTCTGCTGCTCTGTCATCGAGTTGACCGCAGATTCACCCGGTGCTTTCTTACCACGCATGATGAAGAAAGGGTCGGTGAACAGGTGGTTTTGCAAATCCAGGATGTTGCCATGCTTGTCTCTCGGCGTCAAGTAAGCTTCTGCCGACTCTTCAGCTATCTTGATGCTCCTCAGCAATGCGTCATTTTGGAATTCTGGTCTAGTTTCGAAAATGTTACGCTTCTTCCGATAATTCGAGCGATTCTTCGTCCTGAAAGAGCTCTTCGAATTCGACTTGCTTGTCAATCGTGCCTCTATCGGCCAGGTCGCCAGGTTGCCTTGGTCGGATCCTGGTCCGCTCGCGTCGTTCTTCGCTTCTCTCTCGTCGTTTTCAGGTTCATTACGATGCGCGTATCGCTCGATATTCGACGAATCTTCCCATCTTCGTCCGTTCAGCCTTGTATCCTTCTTGTCCGAGTCCTTCAGTCCACCGTCGAATGGCTTCTTGCCCCGAGATGGAATGAAAAGGTCGCCATGCACTTTGAAGTTGTGCAATTTATCGAAGTAAGGGTCGTCGCGCGTTCGCTCGAACAGGGCGGCTTTCTTCCGGTCAACGTTGTCCTCATAGTTCACTTCGCCGATATGCCGATTCCCGCGCTTGCCCTGCACCCTGACGAACACCCCGTTTCCGAGCACTCTCTCGTATCCTTTGTTCGCGCCAATGGCGAAGCGATCCTTGCTGCTGTGGAATCTCTCGCCGATCTTCATGGTCTCGTCGTCGCCACCTTCTTCAACGTAACTCGGAACGTTTTCGCGTTGTATTTTCCACTTCTCCCCGATGGGACTGCTGATTGACGTGTCGTTCGCGGCGGTTCGATTCCGTTTTGCAAATCTGTAGCCCTGCGGAGGCGCTTTCACCGAGTTCCTCGGCTTATCCGTCTCGAATCTATGAACGAAGACAACGGGACTCATAAGGGTGTTCTCCTTCCTCTTCTCGGCGTCCTCATCATCGATCCTCGGCGATTCCTCGTCTTGATCTTCCGTTCGAATCTTGTTCGTGTGTCTTCTGTCGAGATCTCGGAAAAGATAGCGACTCGTCTCTTTCTCCTGATCGCGCTTCTCGTCGAGCGCGTCACTCTGGAATTCGCCAGCCGTCGTTTCGACGGACCTCCGGACGCGGTTCTTCGCCGACCGTTTCTCGCTCTTGCTCATGTAGTCGAGGAATTCCTCGTAATCTTCGATCGTTTTCTCTAGGTTCTCCGGATCCTTGATCCTGAATTTTTTGCCCCGCGACATTATGTAAGGATCGCCACTCTCCGGATGTCGCACTGACCTGTCCGTGTAGTCGGCATCGATCTCGACCCACTGTGGCTCGTCGACGTAGAACGGCTTCTGCACCTGCCATCCTTGATTGTGCTTGCGGTAATTCTTCCTCGACGAGCACTCCTGCGAACCGCCGTTTTTATCTTGTATACCGATGGAGATCAAGACCGTAGGTTTGACGTTGTCGAGCTTCGATTTGTCAGAAGGTAGATCAACTTGCGAGAATCGCGCCAAATCGGGCCGCCTGTAGTGAAATCACACGCAGGGATTTAGTGAGATTTTTACGTCAGGCTTTTGCCGTCTCTCTGTGTCACCTCGAAAATTAGAATGGAGTACTGATTCCAATTTTTCGGTAAACAAGAGACCCGACACAGCCGTCTCAGTTGAAATTTTGACGCGACTTTGGCGTTCTTAAGGATAGTTTGTGTCTACTTAAATAGTCTATAGACTAATAAAAGGAGTAATAAACCATGCTTCGATGATCTGACACCTGTTAACTTCTCTCTTGAATCTTTAATTCTACATTGAGAGGAAAATATTTAAAAAGTAAACAAATATTTATTTGGTACTAATAATATATTTATTTAAACCTAATTCTTTTATTAGAATATATATTATATAAAATAAGTAATCGCTTTCGTGGAAAGCTACAGATGTAAAAAATATATATTTTCTCATTTGAAAACATTTTTTCCTCGGTACAAAAATATATATATTAATATGAGTAAATATATTATAAGTACCCATCGAATAAATTGTTTACTTTTTAGGTATTTTTTTAGGTATTTTTTTCAGTGTCTACAGATATAATTTTAATGCTTCTTTAAACAACCTGTTTTGACGCTAAAATAGCGAAAATTGAAGACATCATCAGCGTCTAAATAAGAGTGAATTGTACACAGAAAAAGTGCTAGATTCAAGTAAATAATTACTTCAGTACTCAGCAAATTTTTACTCGTATTAAGTAAATTTTACTTGGATCAAATAAACACTCGACCCAAGTAAAAAGTTGCTGGGGAGTACTGGAAAAATTATTTATTTAAATCTAGCATTTTTTTGTGTAGTATTAGACTTGAAATTGAATCTATTTCTTTTTCTTTCTACTTTGTATTGTAGAATTAAAAGTTTAATATAGGACTGAAAATTTGACTCGGACGGCTTAAACGATACCGCAATTGTCGTGTCACCTGATCATCGCTACCGGGGACAGTTGCACAGGTTCGTTGACGAACCGTGTATCCGAGATCCGGGGAAACTTCCTGTCGTCGTCGTAATTCAAGACATCCAGCAGTTCGGGCGGGGTATTATCCTGCGACATTGGCTTTGGTCTTTTATTCCAGAATTGCCTCTCCGCCTCGCGGACCCACATCGTTGGTTTCGCATGTTTCTCCATTTCGAGATGAAAAAGAGCAACATCTTATGCGTATTTCTTTGTGTAGCAAGACTTTGCGAGGGAATTCTTCATTTGTTACTTGTATCTTTCGCGATCTTATCACGCGATGCTTCCAGGCAACGCGTCTTTTTAATTATGATAAAATAAAGTTCCGACATCCCGTGCTAGTTTTATCGTTTAATTTAGAGAGGGAGATCGCATCGTTTCGACTGGGATTCGAAGATATTACACTTACCAGAATATTTTCGGACATTGCCATCGACAGCAGGGTCGTGGCCAGCAGTATCTTCCTCATTGCTGAAAAACAATTCATGCTTACGCGGTTTCTTGTTCGACGTTACAAGAAAGCTACATCCTCAGCGATTCGGCTATAGCCATCTTCCGGAGAGATTCCTTTATCGATTTATATCAATTAAGTACACCGGACGCCGCGGATATCAGAAATAGGTTTTTCATGATCGACGACGCAGCAAATGCCACTCAAACTGTCTCCAGGTTGAACGTGTCGCAAGCATACAAAGGCGGAAACTGGGCTAAATTTGAGCAAATTGCGTGTCACGGTTATACGATTATCTTCCGATTCAAAACTTGTAAGATATGACGAACTCTCGATCTGCCTTCGCGTCAAATTTATCGTACAATAGAACCAATAATATTCCAAATTTACTCGCATGGGTGTATAATAAATATTAATCATTTATGCAATATCGTAATTCAATGCGTTACGGACCACATTGTGTGCACATTTTCGTACGTTTTAGCGAACTAAAGATGAAGTCCGTTTTGAATCTTCTAAACAGAGAAAAATTATGACTCTTCGGCCTCAACTACATTAATAAATATATAAGAAGCTATTGTGGAACGGTATGTTAATGAAAATGTTAAATTATAATAAAATAAACAATATTAAGTAATCAATCGATATGTGAATAACACAAATTAATAAATGAAGAAGGCCTTATCAAAGTGGGTCTTGGTGCTTAAAAATATTTTTTTCATAAATCTTACAATTTCCTGTAGTAAAATACCACAATAGTAAAATACTATTCTGCTTTGGATCCTGCTTTGGGCGGAGCTAAGACGACGTCTTTATAGTCACACTTTCGGTTCCGAAAGTGTGACTATAAAGAAGTTCCACTGTATAGGGCGCACGGATGTAGGCTGATCAGAACATGAATTAGAGATAAAAGCGTTATCATGTTTTACTAGCGCAAAAAATATGTTCGTAAAGCCTAACAATAATAATTTACGATGCTAGATGTTTAGTAGCTTTATATGCTGATTCTAATACTTTTAATACTTTCCCGGCAAATAACAATTTTTTTAAAGATCAGAATCAGATTCAGCAGCTCTAAAAATCCACAAGAAAGCATAACGTTTTTATTTGTCACCCCGATGGTCAAAATTGGCCCATCGTTCTTTAGAACTTTACTTTTAATTCGCTGAAACGCAAGAAAATGCGATATTTATAATGCGTCAATTGTCACAAAATATGGACGATCATGGAAATTGGATTTCTTTTCTACCATCGGCTCCGCTAATCGCCATTACGGGAAGATTTGCACGAAGTGTCACGCGACCTCATAGCCCTCCAAGCGGAATCCCGGACGCGTCTCTTCTTACCTGTTGCGGCGGCGTTCACCTGTTGACGACGAGCGTTCGTTTCGAGCGACGTTCGCGACTTCCCCGAGCAGAGTGACGGTAGTCCGAGCGCACTCGCGGTATTTATGTCCGTCGGCCGAAAGTCCCATGGGTCACTTCGTCGCGGTCGAAGGATTAGGCGGATTGCATGGGGAATTCGTTCACCTGGCGCGGATGCCCACGCCAATCTACTCCGCCGACGGGCGCAAATATCCCGACGTCCGTCGGAGAACCCGGCGTCTCGACGTTGCGATACTTATTGTTGGCAACATTATCGGTGCGAGAAAGGGTCGCGGTGGTGTATCGCGCGGAGGGCCCTCAGCGGAAAACCTCGTCGAAGAGTTCTCCCGGTCCCGAGGGTACACACGGCCAGGTGTACGCGGAGGAGTTCCTCGCGTGGTATGATTGGTCTGGCGTGGGGATCTTTATGCGGCGAAAGCTCGACGGTGAATTGTAACGTGACGTTGATTAAAGACATTTCTGCGAAGCAGGACGAAGGACTCGAGATTCTATATCCTGAGCTACGTAATAATTCGAAAGATCATTGTGCCGTGGTAAAAAATCACTTGTTCGCCGGAACTTGTTGGAGAACGTTCAAGAGGAATAATTACGTCTCTCTTACGTGTACATGGAAAAAACAACTCCGTTAGAGTAACTGAATTTCCCGTTGCCTTGAGGACCAGACGAAAATTCGGTTGTAGAAACGGAAAGATTTCCGTAGGCGGTTCCTACGTGATCAATTGTCTCAGTTGAGTTTTAATGTTCTCATTCGACGTAACAGAGATATCGTTTCGTGTTACCGAATTTGTATTTCTCGTCATTGAGTCTTACTATTTCAGTTGCAGGCACTGAGATTCTTCTTTCCATGTGTTATACGTCGTTATTTTTTCTTTCCGTCATGTAAAGTCCATAGATATGTTTATCGTAAACAGAAGAGGCTTCTTTCCATTTTAAATTGAGCGTGATGTGACTTTTAGGTGAGAGGAACGCAGTAACCTAGAGCGGGAACTAAGAATTGCTGAAAATGGTAAGATTCTTTAATTTATAAAGTCATTGTGACGTAAATTGGTTTTTATGTGGAGTCTTGAATAAATAAAATATAAGCTACACGTGTTTGGTATAACATCACTTGTTTAAGTCTGTGTCGATTGATAAATTCACTTAACGTTTTCGTACTCGATTGTGTTTCATGTTAGAGATTCAGATTTCTCGGCGATGGCGACTGTCCAGACTGGTTGCTGGCGGAAATCAACACGCTTTCGCGAATGGTATTGTTGATTTCACAATTTTATGTGTATAGAGTCATAAGGCTCTAATATATTTTTTACTAACGATGTTTTTAATATTCTGTTCCTAGACTTCGATTAAGATGAAAATACTAGGCCAAGCAGTAGCTAAATATTTGACCGAGGGAGAACTGGATGTAAATATAAACTTTGATCTATTTAAAAGTTATCGTCCTTTCTTGAATAGAGTTTTCTTTTTAACAATTTCATTGAATTCTCTAATTCAGCTTATTTCTTGAAATAACTCATAATACTCGATGCAATATATAATAAATGGCTATTACAATAAATACCTTCAAATTTTTTGCATTATTATATTTTTCACAAGTACTCATCGTTTTTTCTAATTGCGCTATGCTCGACTTTTTTTAGGAGGAAAAAGTAAAAAAGATCACGCAAGACGCTAAACTCGGTGCGTGTAATTCAGTGTAATTTACTATGGATATAATCGTAAAATTTAAATTAAGGCATTCGCGAGAGTTAATTCGAAACGAAGATGTAAAGATGTTCGTTCTGTCCAGACGTAGGTGACGCAAAGGCGATGGTAGCCGCGCTCGAATTGATCTTCACATCTTCCGCCCGGTACGGCGTTTCCGCCGCCGATTTGAGCAGCGAGCTGCAACAATTGGGACTTCCACGAGAGCACAGTACTGCCGTGGCGAGGCTTCACATCGATCATTGTCCACAGATCACGGCTGTTCTCTCGTCTCAGTCTTTGAGAGGTGAGATCCCACGTTTAATGGGAGAGAATATTCATTCTTGGTGAAATCAAATTTAGAAAATATAAACCAATATCGGATTTAATATACGCTTGGTAATAAATTTGCGGATTTTTTTCTTCTTTGTTTTGTATATTTAGCAATAATTATACTCTTAAAATTTCTAAGAAAACTCGTTTTTTCGTAAATTTTCGCTGATTTCTTCTGTCTCAAAGATACAAAAATTCGTTTAGAAAAATTCACATGTTTTATGTTAAAACCTGCGACATTTACTTTTTACGTAAAGAAAGTAAGAGACCAAAAAATCCGCGGAAAATTGGGAAAAATTGAGGTTTTTTCCGAAATTTTTCAACTATAAGCAATATCTTTCGATCGTCTCAGAATTCTGACATAAGATTTATTTACTTTTGCAGTCAGTCGCTTGTCCTCTATCGAGGTATTACCATGCGATAGCGCTTCGCCCGTTTCCACCGTGGCGTTAAAACTGAAAAAGGTAGACGGCAATGAAGAAGATTCCACTATAAATATCTCGAAAGACGATGTGCAAGTGTTATTAAAGGGTATGGAATGGATTTTTATAGTATTTACGAAATCGTTATTTTTGTACATTTCGTCACGTTCTAAGAACTACTCTACTTTATATCATGAATATATTCAATTCCCGATATAATAGTGTGCGATTAGCTATAAGCTATTTTATACCCACATTGTACTTTTTCAGAATTGAAGAGAGCGCGAGCGCTTATGGAAAGTCTGTGAATATACGCACATTAAGAATAAGTGTTTAATTTTTATATATTATTATAATTATGCGACTTGTCAACACAGATACTTGTTACTCGTGAAGAAAGATAAAATTCTTGAGAACTTGGAACTTCGAAGTATTTTATTCCGCGTCCAAACCTTCCCAATTCATTCGTTCTCGCTGTATCCGTCGAGGGATGGGGAAACGATTGCGTCGAGTCGCAATTATTCATCGAATAATTTACTTTTATTCTCTTAGTAAATGAATATACAAAGTTTACATTTAGTTTACTGGTTTATACGATGCATTGAATAATATTGATACGTTGTGACGATAATAATGTCGCTGTTATAACCGCGCAATGTAATTCTTCCCTCTGCCTTTGCTGCGTTCATACATATTCGAGCACGATGTCGAGGACATGTCGGATCGTCGGTTACTAAAAAAAGAGAAAAAAAGGAGAGAAAAAAATCGAAGCGTGCACGGAGGTAACTCGTCCGAAATGTATTAACACGTCGAATCTCTATACACCGTATCAGCCTTCGCTCTCTCATTTTTTTTTTTTCCCGAATAGTCAGGCTGTTACCTGACCTGTTACCTGCTGAAACGCAAGCGTGTGCGGCCGAAATGGAATAACGATACGAAGCGAACGTTTCACAAAGTGGGGAAAGAATGTTTCTCCGGGATTAACTATAGGCCAGCGTAGATTCCTCGGGGAATCTCGGGGAAACTATGAGTGAGGCGCGAAAAGCCGAACTACGCTTCGGACTAGAGAGGGGGAGGGGGCAGAAGGTGAGGCGGCGAAGAGAAAATCAAAGCGCGTGATCGACAAGGCCGACTCTCGCTCGCTTGAACGAGAGAAATAAAAAGAAAACGAGGCGCAAAGGTGGTTCTTCGCTGGGAAAGGAATACCTTTGGCATCGTGCTCCGCGAGTATTTTAGGGCGCGCAAAGCGGTAGCGTTTAATCGTTAAATTCGAATAAATACCAAGGCTAATCTAATCAGTCTTTATACAGTTATTCGTACACATTCGCTGTATTATGTGTCCGTTTCGCTCGCGCTCACGCACTCACGCACACATTCATTCGTACACACACACACACACACACTCTCTCTCTCTCTCTTTCTTCACTCGACATGATTATTCTCGATTATTTACAGTGTTCTCTCGGAGGAGCCGTCGATAACGACACATCGATCAAGCATTCTCTCGCGGTTATACACACGCCCCTGGGACGCGTTCTTTGGAGGGCTCTGACCGGCTCTTTCTGCAATGCTCTCGCTCAGGTGGAACCTGCGAAAACGGTTCCGCTCGCGATCAATGATCAAGTAACAAAAATATTTAAAAAAAAGTGGAATTTCGATCAGCCAATCTCACTGTTGGACCTTGGTATCGTGACGTTTACCTCGTGACCTTAATCCCGTCCAAGCGACTTTGTCAAGTTTAACTGTTGAAAGTGTATGGATCCTGCTTATGTTATTACGATTTTATCACGGAATACTCTCTGTTTCTGACGAATAAAATTCGGTATCGAATAGTGTTATCTTTGTCTTTTTTGTGTCAGTTTAAACGACGAGAAGAATTCCGATTGGAGAATTTAAGACTCTTCAAACAAAAAATTAACTTGGCATGTAATCTTTCTTTTCAACCTTTTTCTCATGATTTTGTCAAAGTTAATTGTACGATTATTTATTGATAATATTTGAATAAATGAAAAGTGTTCGTCCCGATATTGTTTTATTTGAACGTATAACGCAAGCATTCTTGCAAGCATTCTTGGCATGCGTCTTCTCGTTTCTAACATTATTAAACAAGAACAGTCGCAGCAAGTATCCAGGGGGTACTCTTAAATCGTAATTTCCACGTTAATTAACGTTATCTTGCGTTCGCAGGTATCTTTGGGAACGTTATTGCCTCATCAGAATGTTAATTAGTGCTCGACGTTGCCGTACTGTTTTCTTACGCGTGATTTGTTTTGTCACCGCGCAAGACGAGGGTATATCGATATCACTGTATTTCTGTGATAATTGTAGTTACGTTGGCTTATATTGTAATCGTTAAAGCTGCATGTATGTATATATGTGTATATGTGTGTGTGTGCGTGTGTTCGCTAACGGGTTAAGGTACGAGCGATTCTCGGGGCTGCGCGTCTCACGGCAATAGAGATATTGCTGCTCTTTGCTCTCGAGACGCCTCCGGTGCGGAGCCTTCCTCGACTGCCTACGGTCACACCCTACGTCTAGGTTCCTCTAGCCGGATCTAAAACGAATTAGAGTACGGTCGCTGACACTAGACGGTAAAAAAATATTTCTGCGAGAGGCAGCTTTTGTATCCGTCGCCGCGCTTGTTTCTCGCGTACGTCGACGATGACGACTACTAACGTGATTTTAAACCGCACGCAAGTATAAACGAAGCAGAGCCGTCGGGAATGGGGCAAGCGTCCACCGTGAATTCATTCGACACGAACTGATACGACGGACGAATCGACGAATATTCGGACACGCGCGAGATCTTTGTGTACAAATATACGAGTGAAACGGTAAAATATGAATTTCCGATCCTTTGTCTGGAGAAGAGGCGGAAAGAGGCGGAGATAATAACGAGTAACCCAATATTTATCTCGAAATGAACGAAACATGCGTATATACTCGGAAAAAACGTCAGTTCCTGCAACAGGGATCGGATGAAAACTCGGTGACAACAAATGATATTTCCGTTACCGCGAACGTTCGTGCGAACATTCAGCCGCATTAAAACTCGGTTGAGACAACGGAGAGCAATTGATCGAGTAGGAACCTCTCAGATAGACATATTTCGGTATATTATCGTGATTAGCATAAGTATGTTAAGACGTATCCTTAAACAAGAAGCACTTTGTTAGTATGTAGAAGAAGACCATCTGATGAAAAAATTGCAATGACATTCTTATGCCATAAATATTGCTGCTTATTTTGCCCGAAAGAAAACGCAATTAATCCGGAATTATTGTAGTAATAAAAACATATAATAATAATAATTCATAGTAATATGTAATAACAAGAAGCCAATATTTTGATTAAAATTATGGTATAATAAATGAGCTTCCTTAAAGATTTCTTAAAACAAACATATTTAAACACGTTGTGCTGTTGGCATCACAGAGTATATATTAAATGTTTGAATATTATACTCATTTTCGTCTATCTAGGTTTCTACAGATATTTTTCCGTTCCTACAATCGAGTTTTCGTCTGGTTTCCAGGCGACGGAAAATCCAATTACATCAACGGAACCGTTTTTCCGCGTACGTAACACGTCGTACGAGAGGAGACTGAAGCCGCGGAGATGCTGTGTCTTGAATGATTATATATCGGGACGCGTGCCCCATTGACGGCGATAACTATTTTCTATGATGGTTGTCGCGATTACGCCGCAGCAATATCCGCCATATTCATGGTGCAATTATCAAAAGATAGGATTTTCTTTGTGCTACTACCGCGCTGCTGTGTGCATCTCGCAAATATTGTATCGGTGGCGGTTGCGACGGCGCGATCAAGAATGCATCGATTGTGTGCGCGCGCGAACTTGCGTTATCGGACAAATCTCCGTCAAATATCTCCTGATAAATTACAGGAAGCTGCTCGAGAGATCATCGATTCACTCATTGCCGACCTTGTGACTTAAAACAGCACTAAATGGAGCAAATAAAGCGCATTCGAGTGAGAATGTAAAATTTGTATAAAGAATTAGATTAATTCTCCGCATAAATTAAGAGGAAAAGTCAAGAATTCCTTGATGGAAATATTTGATTGGAAATATAATGAAAACATACTTGAAAATCTCTCTCAACTTATCCCATTTCATTATCATTTCATTTCATTATCATTTCATCAATATTTGAAATAAAAAATTACTTAATCGATATTTCAGCAATTTTTATTGAAAGTCATGCATTCAGTTATATTCTCAGTAAATTTTATATCTAATATTTAAAAATTTTTTAATTACTTTTCAACAGTATACTTCAATTTTCCTTATATTTCACAGTATTGCATTGCATTTTATAAGGAAAATTATTACTCATTTTTATATATATTCACTAGTTTTTCAATAACTTTCATTTCATCGATTTTCATAGTACTTACAGCGAAATATTTCCATCGGGATTATCCTCAGGGAATTTTTTGATTCCTATAAAATTAGTCTTCTTCCTCATTTATGTTTCGCACGATGAAAGATAGTAAAGATAAGACGATGTCGCAGCGTTCGAAGATTTCTCGATAACGGAAGCGCCCGCGAGTAGTTCGTGGAAGAGTGTTATGCCGAAGCACTTGCGTTGAGAGAACAATACGTGATCCTAGCGCGTTAAGTATCTATTTAGAAACAGAATCAAGGGTGGTGAGCGTTTATTGGACTACACGGGACTACGATATCAGGAGACCGAATGAGCCTTTCTCTCTCTTTCTCTCTCTCTCTCTCTCTCTCTCTCTCTCTCTCTCTAAATTTAGATCTCTCTACGAAAATTCTCTCCGTCTTCCTCTTTATTACGTCTGATAGTGTATCGAAAATAGCCGTTAAAAAATATCTTCGTACTGCATTGGGTATTATCATTGATCTTTAAGAAGTCTGGTCCAGCCCTTGATATCGATGCTTCGTGCTATTGCTTGAGTATCCTCAAAAGTGTCATCGCGAGATGCATGGTCCTTGCGAGATGATATGTACGATTGGCAAAGCGCGCTCGCGAAGTCGTAAAAAAGTGTCTGACTTGCCGCTCGTGATCAATTGGTCAATCTCTCTCTCTCTCTCTCTCTTGTGCCTGTCGGCAAGTGCTTTCTCGCGTCTCTGTAGCGAGACAACGCGCTCTATATGTTCTGCTTCGCAAACGGAATTGCGCAACCCAAGATTCCGACGCGTCGCGAGTATCCTTCGCGAAACGGCCGTCGATAGAAGCTCTCTCTCTCTCTCTCTCTCTCTCTCTCGTGCGAATGTCTAAATGCCGCTAATACAACTACGATAAGACCAAGTTATGCTTGACACGGTGGACCAAGATCAACCGTTACAACCCACTAGATTTGCACTCGGATTACACATCACATTTTCTTGTGTAATATCTTAAGTAAATGGAAAGCGCGCTATTCTCTTTTCTCTTCTTGTTCCTCCTCCAGAATAAATCTCTCATACTCGGCGAATCATTAATATCTCTGCCCGCGCAACAACTCGCGTTAACGGAAAACATTCTACGAACGAGGCTGAGAACATCTCGCATTTGCTATCGCTACTAGTAGTACAACTGGAAGATACCGGAAAACAAAGACGCATTTCGTTCCAAGAATCGCATTGTCTCAACACTGTCCGGAAGAAGTATGACTTCCGAACATATATCGTCGCATTCAGGAGGCTCATACTTGCTCGTGGGTCGTTGGTAGTTACCTTCACGGAATGCGTAAAGTCTTTTTAGTCGTCAGCACGCGCGTCACGTGCCGCGAATCGGCGTACAACCGTAATACTATTTCATCATTCATCATTGAGTGCGTGCTTTCCTATCGGTGTTTACGTAAGAACATCTCTGCGTTTATCTCAAATTAACGTGTAATAATAATAATAATAATAATGATAATTAATATAATTAACTCATATAAACTCTTTCCAGAACGGTACGCACAATTTTATACAGAGTCGACGGTGTGTCGTAGTAACATGAGACGTGGAACATTGATGACGCTCACTGCTTACGGTCATCGTCAGTTCCCTGATGATCCCGGTTCGATATAATCGAGAAAAGGAGAATTAATTCTAGGCTTAGATCGCGTCGTTCCGGAAAGATTCTGTGAATCGACATGAATCCCATCTCTTGTCGTTCGGATATACCCGCCCAACCAGATGGAACTCGTTCGATTAGAAATATTCCCATTGATTGCGCCTTACGTATCGCATGGGTCTTGTTTCGCGATCGATCTTAGTTGCAGCGCAACTTCACTCGTCCGTCCATATCCAACTCACATCAGAGAGAGTTCCGCACGTTCCCCTTCGCGATCTAACGAGGCATCGGTCGGTTCGCATCCGAGCGAATTCGCGCCGTCGTGGACACGAATTCGACTATGCGGCCGCGAATTCTTACAGATCGTCGGCATGCATTGCCACTCGTGGAATGCATCTCGTGATAAATGGCGGATTACTTCTGGGCGGATCGATCTGTAATACTCCGGGTAAGTGACCTTCACTCGTCCGGTCGACAGTGCCCGTCGCGTTAGATCGCGAGAAATGCCTCGAGGAGGACGTGTGAGATGCATCTTCGCGAGAGACCAGTCTCGCGTCACATCACGCGTCTCATAAAGTGATATATAGTCGCGAAAGAACGCAACTTATGTAGCGAACGGTCGCGCGCACGTGCCGAGTCAAGCAAGTACGCGCAGGTAAACGCACTAGGTACGAGTTAAAACGAGCACGGTGATTATTCATACTTCACGAAAGGACGAAATAACATGGCAGTCGACGAAACAAGTAAATACAATGGAGATCGGTAGATCTTCACGATTAGTGGCAGTAATCGTTTTTCCCTCAACTTCCGCTCGCGACTGCGCTTGCAGACGCGCGCTTCCTTCTCTTCCTACGGCGCGCTAATGATTTTTTTCTTATGTATACACTGTGCACCATGTATGCCTTATTATTTCCTAGATCGAGAGTTGTACAATTTCAAACTTACGCGTGCGCACTCGGAATAATAAAAGTCGCAACATTTTTTCTCGTAGCACGCTGCGTATCTAATAGGAAAATGTATTTCTTGAGAGAATCACTAAAAAATGAATTCTTCTATCGGACACCCCAAAAGCGTTACTTATCGAGAAAAAAATGCTGCAGCTTTTATTATGCCGAATTGTATAAGATCGAAGACCACATAAGTAACTTAAATTATAATATTAGAGTTATAATGGCTCTAATTATAACGGTTTTGATCGTATGTGCATACACGTAAGGGTGAGAATCGTGTAATTTTCGAGCTAGGAAATGGTAAGGCATACATGACGCCGTGTGTATAGTAGACGCGATTAATGCTGTCCTTAGGCGTAACAGTAACATCGAAAATTTCCAATCAGGAACATTATTTGTGCATCTTGATAATTTGACGAATCGGTAACAATTCTGCAAAGCAGCAATCATGATGCACAGGTATACAAAAATAACGCGCCTAATTGGAAATTTTCAATGTCACTATACTTAGAGAATCGGACCAGCATTAATGGAGTCATTTATACAATTTGCGGGCGTTAAATAAATACTCGTTGTGTATCGATTGAAATGATGTATGAACGAATAAAAATTCCCGGTAATGAGAAGAGGTCAAAGCGGAACGTTGCGCGCATGAAATGCCGCGCATTTCGCGCAATGATCGTAACGAGGAGCAACAGACTGCGTGGATACAGAAATACTGGGTATTCTCTCACAGACGGATAAGTAGCACACATTATCGTCGCGAGAGACGGATCTCGTCTACGGCTGTTGCTCGTAGCATAAATTAAACTTTATGAGCAGCCTGCTTAATTATTACGGAACAAAGTACCGTTCCTAATCTCTATGCTGATTGTGTGCTTACTAACTCCGATGGCACTGTTAATATTGCAAATCTTACGACACGACCATCACGAGCCCGAGAATCGTGGTGTCTCGTTTCACCAGGCCATAAACAGATTCAACGTTACGGTGAATTTCTGATGGATGTACCGTGAAGGTCTCGTCAAGGCCGTGAATCGTACGACTGCAATCGGCACAACGTTCTTACGGCATAATAATTCATACAAAAATCGCATCATTTCGCATGTAAATGCTAATACTTATAAACGCACAACTCATACAAGATTTGGGGACAAACAAACATTTATCTCGATGACGAATTCTCGATGTGACAAGAGATCTATATAAATATATATTATACGTATATATATAGAAAAAAAAAACAAAAGAAAAAAAAGAAAAAGATGAAGAGCGAATGAGAGATAAAAAAAAGTCTCGCGCCCAGTTTGAACGTGCATTTAAACGTGAGAACATCTGTTCATCATTTTCCATCTTATCGCAGTTGAAAAAGTGACTCGCCCGAGTCGTAGTATAAACAAACAATCAGCAATGTACAAATAGGTTTTAACAAAATTTATACAATAGTTGTTAAATCGGTAGAAAAAAGATCTTAAATACAGAAGCGTACGCTTTACGATGAAGTAGCGACCCGAATTTCTCCACATTTCCTTAACCGACTATTCTTACTTCACTCTATACACGAATTTTATTTAGGACAACACGATAACTTTTTTCTTCCATACCTAAAATGGGATAACTACATTATTCTCACTCTCGCCTGCCGACGATTGTTGTTCTCGGCATTTTCCAGACACACGCGAAGCGTTTCTATCTCCCTCGTATGTCGAGATAATAGAATGGAATTGAGATGATTTTAACTATAAGCACACGTCGACGCGTGCCGAGGGAGAGAGAGACGTTTTCGCAAACTCGAGCGGGGATTTGTTATTACTTACACTTATTAATTCATCGTGATCTGATTTCACGCGCCCCAACCAGGATGAGGGATTTCTCGATCGAGTGACTATTGTTTCCACGATTTACCACTATTCGCCCCCCGGGTATTTCGTTTTATTGCGAGATTAGAGATAAAGTGGGATCACGACTGGTAGGATATGTATGTAACGGAATTGGTGCTTTTAATTATAGTTATTAATCGTCCCCGCAAGCCATTCGTGGCACGATGCTCGTCCGCGCCTTCCCCGGTCTTCCCGCACGTTTTTACACTACGTTTGCCGTTTATTCGAACGAATGGAATTTGCACTCGCGATTCTCACGCGATAAAACTCTACGTCCGCGCCACATCGGCGCGCATCTATCTGAATAATCAGGCGAGATCCGACCGGCGCGTCGAGTTACATCAGATTATAAAAAATAGAGGTAGCGATATATCGAGGAATGGCATGTACATTTATACGTTAACAAACGGCAAGTGCGTGTGTGATATGTCGTATCGTCTCCCGATATTCCCTTCCGAGGCGTGAGGCACGCCAAGAAGAAGAAGCGCACGATTCATACCTGGTAAGGCGGCGCGTACGATCACGATTCGGCCGAAGAGAACCCTCTTACCGATTTCCAAAGCGAAGTACTCGAGTTCGCGCAAACCTCGTCTCTCTCCGGCCGTCGCGCGTCTCTCGATCGACCTCGGCCGCCCTCGAGGAAGAAGCGGCGAAGTGTCAGTTACGAAAATATCACGTAAAACACACTGAGAGACGCCCGGCGAGTCCGGCACATCCCACGGCGGCCGCTCTAATGCGGCAAGCACGTGTCGGAGTCGCCGCTGCTGGCCATGGAGAAGTTCGCCGAGTCCCGGTCGCTCTGCCTGATCTGCGCGGTGGCGGAGAGCTTGTTGTTGCTCTGCGGCAGCTGCGGGAAGGTGTGGTGGCCGGGCAGCGCCCACGGTTGGGTGTGCAGCTGCACCGGCGGGAACCTCTTGACGAACGGGTTGCTGGGACCGCCGCTCGCACCGCCGCCGTGGAGCAGCCTGACGCCGTTGTGATGCGACGGTAGCGTCGTGTGCGTCGGCACGGTGGTGTGCGGCGGCACGAAGGTGTGCCGCGGCACGGAGCCGCAGCTGCCGGTGGAGCCGCCGCTCATGTTGGCGGTCGCCACGCTGTGGGAGGCGTGCGGCAACGGCATCGTCGAGCAGTGCGGGTACGTGACGATCGGCTGGGTCGGGTAGTGCGGCAGGGTCGCCGAGGAAGCCTGTATGCGGATGTCGTTGCTCTCCGTGAAGGAGGTCATGCGCATGTTGGTGGACCGGCCGAACGGCTCTTCGGGGTTCAGCGGGTCCGTCAGCTTCGTTCTCGAGAGCTTGCGGCGGATCACCACCGTCGCCTCGTTCGGGTTCTCCAGGATGACAGCCGGACACCCGGCGCCGATCTCGCCGTTGTTGACGGCGTTGCTGAACGGCGGCACGTGGTTCACGTACTGCGGCGAGGAGAAGGACTGGCTGGTGCCCGGCCGACTGTTGGGCGGCGAGAACGTGCTGTTCGCCGTCGGCGGCTGCGTGCCCCGCTGAAGCGAACAGCTGCGCCACTGCTCGCGCGGTTCTTCGCGCGGCTCCCCGGTCAGGTCGTCCACGCTGGTCGCCCGCCGCTGCGAGCTACTGTGGCTGGCGTTGCTCGCGTTGCTCGCGTTGCTGTGCACGCCGCTGGACGTCTCGCTGTTGCTGCTGGTGTTGCTGTGGCCGGCCACCGAGCCGGCGCCCACCGCGTCGAGCGGCGGCGAGTTCGACGAGTCCGAGCGCGGCGTCAGCTCGTCGTGCGGCATCCCGGAGTCCGCACGGCGCAGGCACCGCGGCGTCTGGCCGCCGTTCATCTGCAAAGTTTCGTCGGAGGTTGAATGCGTCGTCGGGACCGAGCGATCGCGCGAGGCCGTCTTCTCCGACTCGCCGGGCGTGAGAGAGCGACTCTTTCCGCGCGGCGCGAACCGACGACCGTGAGCTGAGAGGCTGGTATTTTATGCGAAGACGTCTCGAGGCATTGGCCAGGGGTGCCCATGAGCAATCGAGTGTTTCCGAATTAAATCTCTTTTTTTTCACGGAGTTGGGTACGATAACCGGTTGGTTGGTTCAGTGTTTGGTCAGAAGGTTAAAACGTTGATAGCTCTTAACTTGATTCAGTTATTCTTGAACGAATTAACTTTTAACTCGAACCAGTTAATTTAGAATGCATTCACTTTAATTCTTGTTAATTTTTTCTTTATATAAGTTGAAATAATTTATCAATATTAAAATCATTGTGGGCTACTTATAATATAGAATAAAGATGCATAAGTTTATCTTCGATATTTCGCAAACATTCCAGTTCATTGATTCAAGATTGAAGAACAACCTGAAAGTTTCACCCGGATGCCAAAAAGGACTGAGCATAAAAATATGCTGTTTGTACATTACACAATTCAAGTAGAAACTGGTAAAAATACGAGTCTTGCAAGTACTTGATTGCTTTTGGGTACCCCTAATGATTGTACACATAAATCGAGGCTACCGTAGAAAAACACAAGTGATCTTCGATGAAGTAAAATGTATTCTTCCTCTTCTTCTTCAATTATTAATCGCACAGGAATACAGGGGAAGTGTGGAATCACATGCAAAGCCTCGAACATTGCAAACGAAGATTGAGATCGTCAGTGCGCGATTCTACGAGAACTCTATTCGAGTCGAAATTTTCATGCCACTCTGACGTTCTTAACACATTGCGGACCAGACATTTTATTGCTAACCGTACCCAGTAACTGAGTATGTTTTCGCCTCTAACGACGCAATATGAAATACGAGATATCTCGTAATCCGTCCGCAATGTGTTAGGAACGATTTGCGCTACTTAGATGGCTCATAGATCCAAACCTATTTCGACTGTCATATACTTGTCAACTTCTCTTTCTCGAACCTTTAATTCTACAGATTCAATTTTAATTTCAGCCACTTCGATGCTACAAATGCTCTCGTTCAAAACGATCTGTTTGTTTTGACGCTAAAAGCAGCGAAAAAGAAAATCCCATAATATTAACGCGCGTCTCTGAGATTTAAATATTTTTTTATGAACTCTCCTTTTTACTGTTTCTCACTCCATTAATTTCCAATTTGTTTTATATACATGTCACGTTAAAAAATCTTCGAGTTTTCCTTTCTTAAACATTACACGTCTCCAAGACGTAGAGAATAAAAGGTTTCTAGGATTTAAAATATTCTAGGATTAAAATATCATACTGATCAATGTAGGAATAAATTGTATTATCAGAATTCAACTTGTTTTGCGATCTTAGCTCTCGCTGTGTTGTAGAATTAAAGGTTTGACATAGTGCGACAATTTTGACTCTGGCGATAAGACCCAAATGTTCAAGAAATATCCTAAAAGCGTTTCAGAGATATCTGAAAATCTCAGAAACGTCTCTAGGATGGCGTTTGAATATTTGTGTTATATGGGGGATTCGTTCAATTGCGCGCAATGACGATCCCGCGTCTCTCGTCTACGTGAGCTAAACGGTTGCGTGTTAAGGTTGTTAGTACCTGGGCGTTTGTAGTTAGTGGCGCCGTGACAATTTCGGTGGTTGGTGCGGAGGTTGGAGTCGGAGGTGGCAGCGGAAGTGGTTCTGCCGCGGGATCGGGTAGCGGGTCGGGGGTGAGTAGGGGCGAAGGATCACCCTCCGACGGTTGTAGGTCGCGATTCGCACTCGCGTAGTAAGTCACTTGATCGTCGTTCACGCACTCGAGCAACTGTCAAAAGGGCGGCATCGTTAGTAAGCGTGAAGAATGCTGCTCCGCACGAAGACCAGGAGAGATGTTAGTTTCATGCCGAGCGATGAGAATGTTATTAGTTAGTTAGTGAACCAAAATTGGGACAATCTTGGTTTGTTCGTGTTTGTTTCGTACTTTGGAATCGAGCTTTGCGACAAAACTGCCAGCTATTCATGTTCACGTCTAATTGCCAGGCTGCGAAGGCTTCGTAGATGTTTCAGCGTACGTGTAAAGTTTCAAGTGGATGTGTCTTTATCTTTTTCTTTCTGCATATCTTCTGTCTATATATATATGTAGTCATACATATCAATTAAAAGTAAAAACTAATTTGTATAATAATAAAAAGTTACTCTCTATACACACTACCACATACACCGATAAAGAAATATATCGAAAGCCAAAATTATACGAAATAATCCGATTGTAGAATATTTATAGTTATCACTGTACGAATTACTTTTGATATCATTTGCATCTACAGATTTACATTTCAGGAAATTTCAGTTCGTATGTGTACTACGCAACTATAATATCGCGACTGTTTTATAAGTCGATCGACTGGCGTTTCGTTGCCCGCTTATATTCGAATCAATTCCACATGTCACCGCTGTGAGATTTGTTAGTGGACGACGGAGAACACACACACACACACACACGCGCGCGCGCGCAGTTAATCGGTGTTACGCCGAAGCACAGAAAAAAAGAATAATCTTGTGCGAGTCTTACGTTTCGGAATTTAGGTATACCGTCCCTACGTGTTATCGGCCATCTCGTCCACTGTCAAATGCGAAAAGAATATCTCTAGATTAAAAGCGGCGGGAGGTGTGACGTAAGCGTATTCAGTGCAGTGAAATGAGGTGATGCGAGAATAGAACGTTCTCTTCGTATCGTACACCTTCGTTAGAAAATCTGACAAATAACCGACTCGCAAAATCTCGCAGATCGGCGAGCGTTATTTTGTTAACACCGTTTTGACCTCGAAGAGAGACATTTTTACAGGAAGGAAAAATCAATACTACACGCGCACGGGAAAAGTGATCCAAGTATTTAGTAAGTTTGACTTTCGTTTGTAAATCCAGAGCGATTGATCGGGACACGTAAGGATTTATCGGGATAGTTTACCTTGTTCTCTTCGGAGGTGGAATCATCGGCCGGGTCCAGCGAGGTGATCAGCGGTAATTCGCGTAACGTGGCGTAATCTCCGTCATCATCAGGCCCGCCGTCAGTGACGCCTCGTCTGGCTTTTCCCTTATTACTGCAAACCAATCGAGAGCAATCAAGAGCGGTGTCTCGCTTCGTCACGCGACGATGTAACGATCGCCGGCAAAATTCAAAGCTCAGAGTTCCAAGAAAGATAGTGAGAAACGATGGCAGATTGTGAATTGGGTTTACAGTGTATATCAAGCGGAATGTAGATACGGACACACATGTAGGTGAAGTAAAGAGGAGTCCACGAAAGCTCTGCGATCTGCACGTGACGACAATACCGATCTCAGATGGGAAAGTGTCTCGGTGCCAGTCCCAGTCTGAAATTCTCGAATTTGATACTCACAGGGACGAAACATCGATTATATCGGCAGACAGAGGGAATAAAAGAAGCGAGTAGTAGAACGGGGAGGGAGGGGGGAGCGCAATTACGCGTGTCAATCATATTCGAGGTGAACGTCTCGCACGTAGCAAGACGCGGATAGAAAGAACAATTCCGATGCCGGGCCCGACTTCCGGGCTGGTGCCGCACCCTTCGTGAATTTATTGTCAACGTTTCGTGAAAGTTCCAGCTCACAAAACGTCAAAAATAAATTCAGGAGAACGAGGCATTAACCTGGAAGACGGATCAAGCGTTTTCTCGTATCACGGAAGCCCAAGATGCCAGATTAAATGGCTGCGTTCAGCAGAGAAAGTAGCTCAGTGAGCGCTTAGTGATTATTGTCCGTGAATAGGGTATTCATTCTCGGATCCTTCGTAGATCCGGGACAACGTACCAATCAGGAGCAATTAGCAAGCGCTCATTAAGCTGATTTCTCCGAACACAGGCATTAGTTCCGATATGTCGTGCTTCAACGAAATCAAGCTGAAGGGGCCTTGATACACGAAAATAAATTTGTATGAAATCAAAATTCATATATTTTCATGTATAAATAAGGATAAATATATATTTCATGTATAAATAAGGATAATTTTATATAAAAACAAAACTTGCTCACATATGAAGAAATTCCATATAGTTCCGCTAAAAATGCCATGTTCTTGTTATTTAAGAATACTTTTTATGAATTGGTGCAGTTTTTAGTTTGAAGACACCATTCTTTCTATCAAATATTTTGTCCTCTTAATTTTTGAAAGTTATTCTCGAATAACAAAAATATATTTTCAGCGGAACCATGCAAAATTTACTCATATAAGCAAGTTTTATCTTCATATAAGATCAATATATTCTTGTTTATATATGAGAATATAAATCTTTAATCGGCACTAAGTGTTTTTCGTATATTTTCCCATATAATCGATTTGATATTTCTTCATCGCAAAAGTGCGCAAAGGAAAGAAAATAGACACCTTCGATCTCTCTTCCAAATTTAAATGCTTTCGAGTGCGCGGTGGAGGAACGTGGAAAGGAGTGCTGCTGCTGCGGTATCACAGGTGTGAATGCGAGAGGGCAGAGCGTCGCAAGCACAGAAACAGATACACAAAGACACCAAGAGGAGGGAGGAGGGTAGTTACCGCGAGCCTGACGTACTAGGCAGGTCGTTAAAGGTGACCTTAGGCTTCAGCTTCTTGTTCAGCCAGCCCTTGTCGGACGTCGGCGCGCCGCCGGCGTCGTTCGGGGACTGTGCGGGCGAGGGGCGCAATTTTGGCCTGAGCCAGTAGATCTGCTCGTCACCGTCGGCCGTCGGCTCCCCGTCGACTCCATCGACGTTTCCGCCTGCGACGGACGTGCAAAAGTCGATAAATCGTTCCCGGGTATTAGCCGCATATACTCTTTCGATCGATCGGAACATTTAAGCCCCGCGGCTCGCTCTGTTTTACGCGCGGCACAGCTCGCGCATGCCGTTCCCTCTTCTCGATTAAAACAAGCGCACAGCTTCGGAGTCGCGTCTTGTAATACCACGAAATTGTGTGGAATTGCAAGAAGCACACGGTGACAAGAGAGAACTAAACTTATCCGATATCCTCGGATGTGAATCAATCGGCCGTAGTTATGCAAGAAACATCCAACCCACAAAAATATGATTTTTGTTACTAATGAGTAGTCTATATGTCTTTTTACAAAACAAAAAGATTCAAGTCCCTTGTGGGCGCCGAGAATTAATTAAAAAACAGTTTTTATTCTCTACTCGTCGTGCCATTTCTTACTATGCGTCTTTTTTGCCAATTTTTTTCAGGGTTAAACTTGCCAATGAATAGAGAAGAAAATGGACTATGCTTGAACGATTTCTTGAACGATTGTGAAGAACCTCAGTGCTATTTGTGCTTTTTAGATTACCCATCAATTTTTATCTTCTCGAAACGTACTCCATGTAGGTTAAAATCTTCCTTGCACAATTATAGCCAATTATGCAAGATAATATTTCAGCAATTCTCGTTAGTCCGGATCTAATAATGATAATCAGTAATAATGTAGTAAGCCTTTAGCCTTTTGCTCGAAAGATTGTAACGTAATTTTTAGGAAAAAATATGTCCAGCGCTACACAATGAGAAAATTGGTGTTACAAATAGTCTACCGAAACTTTTGTATTACTTTAACAAAATGAATATGTTACAAAATAACACATTAACAAAGTGAGTACATTAATTTAATATATTCGTGTATTTTTAACATAACCCCGTCATGTTAAAGTAAGACAAAAATTTTGGTGGACCATTTGTAATATAAAATTTTGCACCAGACGTTGCAGTTTCCAAGATTTAAGCGTTATCACGACTTTCGGGAAACGTCTCTTATCCTGTCAGATATCACGTTACATACTATCGCTTAGAGCAGCAGACCTATTGTAGATCCGGACTTACCGTTATCGCGAGTTTTTCGTCGCGGAAGAGAGGCTCCACACGCGAGGACTGAAATACACGTGCCCGGTAAGGACGAAAACTCATATATCCTCGCTGGTAACGGGCATTACCTTGCGATCGCGCTTTCCTCTCCATCGCGGCCTTCTGTATGACGCTCATGATGGCCTTCTTCGGCGAGGTATCGGCGATGGTGTACGTCCTGCCGTTACCGACCACGAGTAGGGGCGCGCTAGTGCCGTCGTCGTCGTCCCTAGCCGACAGCAGGTCGACGTCGGTGACGAGCTTGACCGACCTGGCGGACCTGACGGTGGCGCGTCCGATGGTGACGCGCAGCTTGAACGTCCAGCGCTGCTTGATGGTGAGGAATATCCAGAGCAGCATCCAGAGGAAGAGATGGAGGATCGTGCCGATGATGCAGGCGAGGATGGCACCGTCCAGGCTGCCGCGGTACACCACGGTGTAGTCGTAGAGCAGCGGTGCGCTGCAGATCGCGATCGCCAGGAACACGCACAGCGCCGTACAGTGTGTGAAGTAGACCCAGCCGTTGCCCTCGCGGCCGTCCTTCGGCAGGATCACGCGACGTTCGCGCTCCTGGTTCAGGAACGCCGTGAACCTACGCAGAGAGGCGCCGTGCGTCGCGCGATCAGGCACGCGTGACATCGCTGTTTACATTGATAATTGGCCCGGTGCGCGCCGAGCGGGACAACGTGCGCGCGGAGCTATCCCCGCGCCTCGACGGAGGTGGAGTGGCCCGGGGGGGGCAGCTTCGTTCCGCGGGAAATTACGCGGAGAGTTAATTGTATTTTAAATCGATAAACGCGAGAACGCGCAACGCCGGAACATCGCTTCGATTATGCACCAGCGTTCCGAAACGAGGAGAATGAAGAGATCCGCGATAATAACTCATTCACGAGTCATCGTGTTTCTATGCGCACTCGCGGTAATACGCTTGTATTGCGAAAGTTACGTGAGACACGATAGCGCAAAATTCAATCGATCCCCCGAGCGCCGCCCCTCTCGAAAGTTTCCAGGAAATTCGCTTGATTTTATTTTCCACCGTAAAATATACTGTCTACCCCGGGATTTTCGCGAATTGCAGATAAAGACTCGGTTCACTATTAGGGATGCAATTGAACTTTTTATCGTAGCTTTCACATTGGAAGAAAAAAAGTGCTGCATTCGAATACACATTTGCTAAGGAATATTGAGATAATTATCTTATTTGGATTAAGTAAATATTATTTGAATGTAGCACACTGAGAGAAACAAATACTACGTGGTATTTACTTAATTCAGGTGAAATCATTATTCCAATACTCCTTAGAGAATGTTTACTTGAATGTAACACATTTTCCTTCAGTTTCGTATCCACTGAAAGAATTTTTCACTTTTTAAAAATTACATCAAAACATTACTTTTCTCTCTGTTTCTACGTCGTCCCGTCTATCTTTCAAAGGTAAAAGTAGTAAGAGATACGCCGCGATATTGTTAATTGCTATCCTTTGTTCTATGCCACGGAAAGCCGAGAAAGGAGGATCGGAACGTATTAAGGGAGCCATTGAGTTTCATACTGAATAACGACGGTATCGGGAGGCACGCCCGGCCTGGTACGTCTTGTGCGTACAAGTGCTGTTTCAAATTAGCAAATTAGCAAGTCAAATAAAAGCCGGATAAACGGACGGCAAGAAAAGAAATTACGGGGTCGTCGAGTTCCGCGATAGAGATGTTTTTTGCGCTCCGGGATGGCGGGTGCAAAGTTTCCCCCCTCCCAGGTGGGGGGGAGGACGCAAACACGAACACCGTAGTAAATAATTATAACGTCCCGGCGTTTCGTAACGAGGTATTAAGATCGTTTCGCGAAAAGATTCGCCGATAAAGCGGGGTGCAACACGCCCTCACGAGATAATCCGCACGTGTAACTCTTTTACGCGAGAACAAACTGCGTTTACTCTGCCGCGTTATCTGATAGCGGCGGATGGGCCAGATAATTTTCGTTGCGGCAAAAAGAGTCGGCGGCAATCTCCGCCGGAGTTTAATCGATTATCGTACGGGGCCGAGTAAGCTGGCCTCTGCGCATAACACGCTAAATATTTACCTGCCGTGAGCGTAGAAGTACATGACCATGCTGGAGCAGAGTACGAGGAGGGACGAGAGGGCAAATAGCACGAGGGTTACATGGGGATTCAGCAGAAAGTAGGAGTCTCCGAATATCGTTGAAATTGTACTGGTGGCCGCTACGGTGCGGTGCCGGAGGAGCGGTAGGACTTTCAAAGGCCCCACAACTTGCACCTGAAAGGACAGGTTTATATATTTAATAAAAAATACGGTCGCTAAATAAAAGAAAAAGAAGGAAATAAATAAGAACGAAATAAAAGTATACGAGATGTGTCGATTACTGCCTTTGGCGACGCGCAAACAGAAACTTTATTTCATTTGATCCCCAGCGTATTATACTCGGCTGATCGCGAGCTCTCGTGTAAACAAAATCTCCTTTTCTTAGTTACTCCACGGCGACTAGCGACTGTGTATGCTTCTTATATTCTTGACACGGAAGTTTCAATATATAACGATGTTTTATCATTTCAAATATTCAAAGATTAAATAATTTTTTTTTGCACCAAAACAACTGTGTATTGTCAGCCCTTTTCCTGATATCCTCTTTCTCTTTTATTTTATTTACACGCAACGATGATAAATTTTCGCAATAACAAAATTAATATAATAAGGAGCAGGTTATAATATCTCAAGTTTGTGTCGCAGTTCTATTAAAGATTTGAGTAAACGTTTGCGGGTTTCCATGTAAAACGCGGATGTCCGTTTCAGCAATGTATATTTCTTCGGGTTTCTTACGTTCCTCGGATTCTTCGCTATTGTGATTAAGTTCCCCGGGTATCCGCAAGTATGGTATATGCAAGTGCGCCGGCCGGACTGAGACGTCAGCGAGAAGTTCCCCGCGAGTTTTAACCGGCATCGAATACTTCGCGTTGCTTACCTTGTAAAGGACGGACATTCCGGCGTAAGCCAGCAGACTCTGCGCTGAATTTACGACCAACTGCAGGCTGAAGATTGTGCCCAATGCTTTGTTGCACGACCAGAAGACGGCGGGATATCTTACCGAGTATACGCCGAGCGCGACGGCGTAATTCAGATATTCCAAAGTAATCGGGCCGTATGATTCGGCTGAAAAACGAAGCGCGCGGCTGCGTAAATAATCCCGTTTTCAGCGACCGGATATTCTCCCGCGCTCGGATATTTATTTTCGCCGGCTACGCTGCGCGAATCGAGTAAGGGAGACAGCGAATTAATAATACAGAGGAAACGTTCCTCGTGGAAGCGTTACACAAATCTCCACTAATCTCTCTCTCAATCTATCGGTCTCGCGAACGTTTCGCAAATGTTTCATACGACTATCGTATCGAAACAAAGCGCGCTTTCGGCGTTCCCGGTAATTCTGTTCTCACAGTTTCCGCAATGCGCGCGTGTTAATTAATTTTCCCTCTGAAACTGTTTCCCCGAGCTGATGTCACTCCCGAGACGAATAGCCGGCGATCGACGACAGTTACGAGATTCGATCGATTGACGAGCGGCTTACCTGTTTGAAGTTCCAGATTCAAATTCTCGGGATGGTCGAGATCCGCCAGGCTGTTCATCGTCAGCGGCATATTCTGCGCCGTCATGTTCCCGCCGGCCGCTCGGGCAGGCTTCGCCGTGGTGGTTATCCTCGTGAGATTCTTCGCCTTTGACCTGCCCTTCGAACTGCCGTTCCTGGCGATAGTTCTCATGGTCGGTCGTCTCGCGGTGCTGCCCTTCGGCAACACCGTTGTCTTCGATTGCGCGCTCGAAGTCGCCTCGGTGCTCGTTGTGCTCGTCGCCGTATTTGTTTTGCCGGTAGTCGTTGCGGGGTTCACAGTTGGATTGGTAACGATCGGTTGGACAATCGTCGAGAACGTGGTGGTCGTCTCGCCGGCACGAGTCTCGACCGCATCGGGAAGCGCGATGTTCGTCAGACTGGACGTCGGGGTGGCGAACTCGTCGAGATCCTCGTTAAGGCCGGCTTCGTCCGGAGTTAAGGTTACGAAGGGCTGCGGAGTTATCGTGCCGGTCAAGGTGCTTATGTTGCCGATCGGGTTCATAAAACTCAGCAACACCAGCCGATCGCGATGGATCACTACCCAATCCAGGTCGGTCCTCCATATCGCGTCTGTAACGGGATAATAATATATTTATTTTTATAGGCCGACGTAACGACAAAGAAAAGGACAGATTGTTCGCACAATTTTCTAAAGATATTCATAAGATATTCCAGACGGGAAAGAAAGTTGTACTTGTTTGGTTGAACTTACCTGATTTACAGTAAACAAATCAAACGCGTTTTAGTCGAAGGAAGCAGAATTTCCGATCCCTTATGAACTAAATTAGGTTCTTATATAGTTTTCAAGTTTCGGAAGAAAACCGTTTTCTCACAATTCTTCTGTGGATTTTTTTTTGGTTTCTTGCTTTCTTTACGAAAAAAAGTAAATATGGTGGGTTTTAACGGAACGTATATGAATTTTTCTTAACGAATAACGAATTTTTGTATCTTTCGGACAGAAATCAAAGAAATTTGCGGAAAAATTGGAAAAAGTCGGGTCATTCCCGAAAATTTAAAGCTTATAATCAGATACTTATAACTAGAGATTCTATTTCCTTCAATCAAAACACGTTCGGTTTGTTCATCGTCACAGAAATTTCACCGGATTTTTTTTCATGTTTCTACATATATCTTTCTATAAAAATATTCTAGAGATATTCTCAAGATATCCACGTACGATTCTAAACGTCCTAAAGATATTTACGTCTTCTCCGATTAACGGAACAAATTTCAAGAACTTAAATATTTTTTGGATATATATACACAGTAATTTCTTTTTCCGTGAATTGTAATACAAATCGTAACAATTGCGTTGAATCGGTAATGCAATTACGCAAGATGCATTGCGATGAGCTTTGTATCGTCATTTATATCAAATATTTCTACGTTTCATTTTTCCGTATAATGCGCGTATTTGTAAAACTTCGATGCGCTTGAGCTTTCATCTTCTAATGCATCCTGTCGCTTTGTGGGTCATCCAATTTTTTTTTTGCGGAACCTAACTCAATTCAATTATCTGGCAACCACTTGGCCGGATGAGTTTTTTCGCGATATCTCGTTTTATAACCGACTTTATTGCATACAGTAAAGCGACGGTGAGCTTGAAAAGGGACAATGGCAGCACGGGCAGCGTTCCTTCTATCGAGTGACCCTCCAAAGAGTCTAGTCGCGGAGTGTTTCAGAGGAGATAAGTGTCGTCATGGTATCGGCCACGAACCTGTGTTAGTATTTGGTTTGATTATGACATCCGATCAATCCCCGAGCAGGAGACACCCAATTTTTTGCAAATAACTGAGAATTAATGAAAATATTATATTGTTAAATTACGACACGATTATTAGAAGTTCTAATTTACAATTCTCGAATATTGTATTAATACTAAATGCTAATTAGTAATGCAACGACGACATATAATTATAAAAGTAACAATACAATATACATATATTTATCTAATTATGCAGTGAGAGAACGTTATTCGGTTAAATTCTATGAATATCGGTAATGACTATTTGGTTAATCCACATGTTATGCGATATAATGGAAATTTGTTTAATCTCCACGCAACGTAATTAATAAATATAATAACGCAATTTAATCGTATTATATTTTAATATAAAATGCTACAAAATTTAAGATTTGAATTTGCTCTTACTCGCTGACATCTGTTAAACTTGCGCTCACACGTCACCTTTCACGGAAGTCTCGAAAAAAGCTTTGAATAGATATTGAAGTGAGCAAAAGAAAATACCAATACATCGATTTCCTGTCCGGAACAATTCGCCCCCTCCCCCTCCCCCCTTCCTGTCCACCACCTTTTCCTGCGTCGGTAAGTTCTTTTTTCCCCTACTGCGATTTATCGCAAGACTTCCCGAGGCTTCTTAAGTTTCGTTTTTGTCTTGATTTGTTTCTTATTGGCTTCTTTCTCACTCTTTCCCTCTCTGTTTAGTCGCTTTCAGTTGCCTTTGAACTTCGTGTGATTATTTTCGATTCCATTGAACCACGATTACACGAACAGTGTTTTATTCTTCCGCCTTAGGTAATCGATATAATAAAAAGGGGAGCGACATTTAACTCATGTAATATATAAGGGAGGGGGAACAAAAATAAAAAGATTTTCATGCCTTTTCCCGAGGCTACAAAGGATTCTTCCTGAAACAATGTCGAGTATGATCTCTGAGTCTCAACAGCGAAGTGATTTCAAATACTTCTTACCGGAAACTTATTTTTCATCTTCACGTCGACTTATTTTAAAGCCTTGTTATTAGAATCACAGTCATGTTATTATATAATATTATTACTAAGAAGTATCTGTCGGGGAGACAAAGTTGGCATCAGAAATTACAAAAATAAATTGCGAAGAGCAACGAGATTATGTAAAAATTATGTAAAAAGATTGTAAAAAGAAGAATTATGCAAAAAGAAAGCGACGTGTAGATGCTAGAACGCGTTAGTTCGAACCGAAATATTCCTTCGGCTAATTTTTTTTTCTCAAATGACGTACTTATCGACGGGAAAGTGACGGTTACTTGGCGACAAGCCGAATTACGCACTGACACTTGCAAAGGACTAATAGTGGCTTTAATACGCATGGCGATCATTCGATAATTCCTTGCGATCACCGTATGTGTTACTATTGGAAACGAAGACCTCCGCCATTATCCAGTTGCCGTAGGATTCCTTTTTTCATCACGCGTGTCTTCATTTACAACTCGATGAAACTTTTGACACTGCATACTCGGTGTACAATGTACCGTATTTTCGACCGCGTTGCGCGTTTAATCGACGGCACCTGCCTCACGCCTTGTACTTTCGAAACTTGATGTCTCACCCTGGCATTATTATTCGAATGTCCGTCGCTCTCTTCCCGGTCCGTTATTATTGCGCGCATCTGCGAACGTTACGTGGCCCCGAGAGAAGTTCAAATTTGCCACGGGTAATAAGACGCACTTATTACCGTGCTTATTAATAGGGTGCCTTATGAATACTCATGATATCAAAGATGAAAATCACACAAGATGAAGATCATGCGTTCTTGCATGATGAAATAGAGATTACGGAGATTGGATTCTACCTTAGGGGTTATTCGAGTTGAAATTTTCGCTCTGTGTTAAATGATTTGTGTTCTTTAATTCTGTAACATAGTAGGAGTAAAATAGGTTCGATTTCATTCTAATAGTATAATTTACTCCTATTTTATATTTTCACTCCCTGATACTATTTTAACATTTCGTTTTCGCTGTTTCAGCGTCAAAATAGGTTGTCGAAAATAGCAGTGGAAATTAATCGGTAGAATTAAAAGTTTTAGAGAGAAGTTAATAAGTGTGTTAGTATCGTCAAGGTAGGTTTTTATCACTCTATAATTTATAAATTTAATTTTAGAGGAATATATTGGATAAAGTATAACACGCTACACCGTGTCGAACCATTTTATTCTCTCGATAAATTTGAAAATCGTCGCGTCCAATATCCAGCGACGGCTCTTTCTAGTCTATCTTTCTTATTGGTTGTTCGTAAAATATAATAGTTTCCGAAAATTCATAATAATGCAAACACAATAGGCTGCTATTCCGGCCCGCCTGATGAAAGGATTAATCCTTCACTTCCATTATCAATGCACCTTAACACGATACGCTCGGTGCACGGTCGCGTATCGCTAATTGGTCCCTTCTTGCGTGAAATTCATTGTGCCAATCCTATACATTGCAGAAATATATGAACACGGTATTGAATTAATTTTATCGCCGGCGGAAAATTAAATCTGCCTGTCTCAGTAATTGGTTTTGGTTAAAGAGCCCTGAACGAAAACTCCGCCCGCCGTCTGACGTAATATTCGCTCGGATATAATTTTGCAACAATGCCAGAGCGATCCGCTATATTTCGCGCTGACGTTAATAATTGCAGTTTAATTGCGTTCCCGCCAATACCGCGAAACGACAAAATCGATAAACTCCTTTACGACACATTGTGAAAAAACGAACATATGATTATCGATTTCTCCGGTAACGGACCTCGCCGAGGCTTTTTGTGGCTCGATGGTGCTCGATAAGGGAAAAAGATAACTGTCATTTATACGCATTGCGAACGCATATCGAATATGAGCTGTCGATAAATTAATAATTGATAACGACGAAAGTAATATGCACGTCTTGCAGTTTTCTCTCGAAAGAAGAAATAAAGCGGCACAATAAATGATTGCGCAATAAACATATTCAATAAATGCTGTATATTCCGTGTATTAACGATAATAATATATTGCGAACATTTAAAATCCGAGCCTTTGTACTCGTAATTATTTATACACGTTACATCATTAACTTTATATAATACCGCGCGTGATACACGTTTAAATTTTGCAAGCTGTCGGATTCAACGGGTTAAAACGAGCGCAAACAATCGAGATCCTGCGTGTTTGCCCGAGCGTTCGCGATTTTCTTTCTCTTTTTCTCTCTCTCTCTCTCTCTCTCTCTCTCTCTCTCTCTCTCTCGTAAATGGCCAACGCGCGACGATGAACGCTGAGAGAGCGAAAATCACGCGGCAAATCCAGTCGAAGGTACAAAGTCGCCGCGCTTAATTGACCGTCCCTTACGTTCCGGCCGTCTATCTCTTGCCCGGGGTTCGAAATATTTTTAGCCTTGGAATACAGCGTAATTACAGTCAGGGGATTAAACTTCTCTCAACCTCGAGGCCTCTCTCGCGCTTTCTCCCTCATCGTCCCCGGTTCCGCATTCTCGGTATCTTTAATCCCGCCGGGGATGACGCAGGAAGGGGTTAAGCCGGCAGAAGGACAAAAATGCGGGTATACTGCAGCCTTAAGTCAGATTACGTCGCTTTCATTCGATCTTCTTTGTAGGAAGGCAGATGTCACACTTGGTAATGATTAATCGTGCCGAAATTGTGCCCGGGCGCGAATTACAAATATGAAAATGCGAAAATGTGTTACGTTATCGATTATGTAATAATGATTTTGTCAAAAATAAAGATATGTTGTTATACGGGGTGCAGCAGGATTTTTTATGCAAACGAAAAAAGAGTGACATCCTGTGCGAATGTAAGTCGAAAATGAAGAATAA